CAGCTCAAGGCTAGCACTCTACCACTTGAGCCACAGCGCCACTTCTGGCTTTTTTCTTTTTGCTTATGTGGTGCTGAAGAATTGAACCCAGGGCCTCATGCATGCAAGGCAAGCGCTCTACCACTGAGCCACCTTCCCAGCTCATCCACTAGTTATTTTTTGAGATAGGATCTAACTTTCTACCTAGGTGAGTGCCAAGACCATGTCTCATCTATTTCAGGCTTCTTTTTACTGGTGGTATGACAAACATGTACCACTGCATGTAGCTTTTGGTGAGAAGGAATCCTTGAAACCTTTCTCTCTCTCTTATTTTTTTTTTTTTGGTTGATCGTGGGGCTTGAACTCTGGGCCTGGGCGCTGTGCCTCAGCTCTTCAGCTCAAGACCAGCACTCTACCGCTTGTGCCACAGCGCCACTTCCGGTTTTCTAGTGGTTTATTGGATATCAGAGTCTCATGGACTTTCCTACCCGGGCTGGCTTTGAACTGTGATCCTCAGATCTCAGCCTCCTGAGTAGCTAGGATTACACGCGTGAGCCACCGGCGCCTGGCTTCCCTGAAACCTTTCTACCTGGGCTTGCTTTCAACCTGAGCCACTGCACCTGGTACCACTGAGCTTTTATATCCTCAGAACTTCATTGCATTTTTTTGCTACATGACTTTGTTCATATATTATGTGTGTGTATAATAATTATCGAATTGATTATTCTCAAGTGAGTATATCTAAATTTGTAATTGCCACATTTTGAAAATGTATGTTTCAAAATACAGAGAACAAAATATTCTATAATGGTATTTCTAAAGTAACAGCATATAATATTAAGATCTTTGTTTTCTCCTCTTTCTTTTGGAGTTAGCATGCAACCATCCAGAATTGGCCAAGTTCAAGTTGTAAGATGTCAGCATTGGTGACTTACAGGTAATTTTATTATGATTTCTTAGGTTTGCTTTTAGTGTACTCAATACAATATCAAGTAGCCTTGATTTCTTTTCTGTGATATTGTAAAAATTATTTATAGAAAAGCTGAGTTTTGAGGCTGACAGTGAACTTCTCTATGGAAGAAGGCTGACAGGGTGCAAATGTGACAATGCTGAATTCATATGCAGCTTTTTGGATGGTCCCTGTGCTTGCTGCAGAACACATCTGTCTCCTCACTGAGAGAAGATATTGAAGATGGTTTTTATATCCCTGAGTTCTAAACTAACATTTTTGTATTTTTAGATCCTTCAGGGCATTTTTCCCACTACTTGGCAACTTCTCTCAACCAGAGGTTCAACTCTGGGCACTATGGGCTATGTATCATGTCTGCAGTAAAAACCGTATGTATTAAAGTAATTTTCCAACTAATAGTTTTCTAAATAATGAAAAAGGTCAAAATGGACTTTGAATATTCACCTTTGTCCTGGATTTAACTTTTTAAAAAGGAAGGGGAAAATTACTAGCTTAAAAAATGCTACAGTAAGGACTGAGAATGTAGTTTAGTGGTAGAGTGCTTGCATGAAACCCTCAGTTTGTTTCCTTAGTACCACATAAACAGAAAAAGCCAGAAGTGGCACTGTGCTTCAAAGTGGTAGAGTGCTAGCCTTGAGCAAAAGAGTTCAGGGACAGTGTCCAATTCCTGAGTTCAAGGCCCAGGACCGGCAAAAAAAAAAAAAGAAGAGCTACAGAATTGGCAGTATATTTAGGAGGGAACATCTAAGTAGTATAGACCTATGTGCAAGTTTTTACCCACTCCTATTACCTAAAGGCAAGTGCTGTGAATAATTGGGTAGTTATCCTAATTTTCTTTCTCTTTTTTGGGGGGGTGTGGGTGTGCGGTTGGTGGTGGGGCTTGAACTCAGGGCCTGGGCATTGTCCTTGAGCCATTTTGCTTAGGGCTAGTGATATACCATTTTGAGCCACAGCTCCATTTCTGGTTTTTGAGTAGTTAATTGGAGATAAGAGTCTCATGGGGACTCTTCTGCCTGGGCTGGCTTTGAATCTTGATCCTCAGATCCTAGCCTCCTGAGTAGCTAGGATTACAGGCGTGAGCCACCACCAGCGCCCGTCTAAGAGATTGGGAAGCCAGCTGTCTGCTTATTTCTTAGGCAGAGTATGTTCTTACATGTTTTGCTGCTTAAAATCCCCTTTGGGAATTTTTAGTTTATATCCTTTACTCATGTTCAAGCCCCAGTATCTCATTTGATCTCAAAACTACAAGGGGTTGGCATTATTATTAATATCCAAATATTAGAGATAAAAAATTTCAACTGAGGGCTGGGAAGGTGGTTCAGTGGTAGAGTGCTTGCCTCATATGTATGAGGCCCTGGATTCGATTCTTCAGCACCGCATAAGCAGAAAAAGCTGGAAGTGGCACTGTGGCTCAAGTGTTAGAGTGTTAGCCTTGAGCAAAAGAAGCTCAGGGACAGTGCTCAGACTCCGAGTTCAAGCCCCAGGACTGGCAAAGAAAAAAACAACTGAGGTTCAGGGAAGTAACTTGCCCAAGATACAAACACATACCAGCTGTTCCTAGAGACGAAGTTCTAATTTAGTGTGATCCAGTTTTAGTGGGGAAAAATAAATATATATATATATGGTTTTTTTTTCCCTGCCTCTTTTGAACTTTGGGCCTGTGCTTGCTAGGTAGGCACTACTCTACACTTAAGCTAGGCATATAGCCCTCTTTGCTTTCAGACCCCATGTGAAAAGATAGGGTCTCACCGTGTTTTGTTTTGTTTTTTTTTGTCGGTGGTGGGGCTTGACCTCCGGGCCTGGGCGCTGTCCCTCAGCTCTTCAGCTCCAGACAAGCGCTCTATCTATGCTTGAGCCGCAATGCCATTTCCATTTCCGGTTTTTCTAGTGGTTTTATTGGAGATAAGAGTCTCACGGACTTTCCTGCCTGGGCTGGCTTTAGGCTGGCTTTGAACTGTGATCCCAGATCTCAGCCTCCTGAGTAGCTAGGATTACAGGCGTGAGCCACCAGCAGCCCGCTCCCCGCTCCATGTTTTGTTTTGTTTTTTGTTTTTTTTTGGGGGGGGGCCTGAACGCTGTCCCTCAGCTCTTCAGCTCAAGGCTAGCACACTACCACTTAAGCTACAGTGCCACTTCCCTTTGTTTTGTTTTCTTGAGCCCAGTCATTTTTATTTTTTTGGTTGGTTGTGGGACTTGAACTCTGGGCTTGAACTCTGTCCTTCAGCTCTTGATCTCAAGGCTAACATTCTACCATTTGAGCCACTGCGCCACTTCTGGTTTTCTGAGTGGTTTATTGGAGATAAGAGTCTTATGGACTTTCCTGCCCTGCCTGGCTTTGAACCATGATCCTCAGATGTCAGCCAGAGTAGCTAGGATTACGGCCATGAGCCACTGGTGCCTGGCTGGATTTAGATTTTGATGGGTTGTTAATAATAAAATTCTTTAATTGAAGTATGAGTCCCTCTCCCCACTCTTACTATTAAATAATAGCCATCTGAATAAGAAAAGAGGGGTGGGAGAGGTTTCAATATCTTCTATTAATGCTGTTGTGCTCTGTTGTCAGCTAATTCCCTGATAATTTTTCCTTTGGTTCCTGTGTGGTACATCTTAATTGTATTTTCCCCCACCAGCAGAACTGTTCAGTTTATTAAACATTCAAGTACAGTAGCATCTGGTAAAATTGGAACAAAATTGGGATCCTTAACTCCACGATGGATTTATTTCTATTCTGATTAGAGATTTTTGCTTCCTGAATATAGAGATTAAAAAATGTTACCCATCTCCCATTTATTTTATTTTTTGTAGAATTTCTTTCAGAAATATACTTTTGCATATCCAAATCTTTCTGTCCTTTATCCTTTATTTTTCCTGGGAGATAAGGGAGGCTATAAACTATACCTCCAGCTATTTTTTTTTAGGTCTGGTTGTGGGGTCTGAACTCTGGGCCTGGGTGCTGTCCCTCAGCTCTTCAGCTCAAGGCTAGCACTCTACCACTTGAGCCATAGCGCCACTTCCAGTTTTTTTCTTTTTGCTTATGTGGTGCTGAGGAATCGAACCCAGGGCCTCAGGCATGCAAGGCAAGCGCTCTACCACTAAGTTACCTTCCCAGCTTCCCCTCCAACTATTTTTGTTTTCATTTATGCAATAGGTTTTTTTGTTGTTGTTTTTTTTTTTTGCCTAAACTGGACTGCAATCTTCCTATTTATGTTCTCCAAGGAGCTGGAATGACAGGGTATGTACCACCATGCCCAGACTTTTCTGTTGATGTCTTGCAAGTTTTTGTTTTGTTAAGAATGGTCTGGAACCCATAAACTTCCTGATCTCAGTCTCCTCTTTAGCTGGAATGACAGGTACAAACTCTCACACCAGCTTTGTGGCAGGGCGTGGGGGTTATAGGGGTGTGGGAATCTCTTGATTTTTTTTTTTTGTCTACACTGCATTAAAACCTTTCCAGTCTTCTTAATTTCTCTGAAACATTCACTTGGTATAGATCCAAACCCACTTGGGACTGTTGTTATGAATTCTCAGCAAAGACTTCTTCTATATACCCTGAGAGTCTGTACCAACATAAAAATACTTCATTGTTTCTTGCTTCTGTTTAGTACATTGAGGGACCAGCTTGATCCTTTATTCTCTGGTTTTGTGTGTGTGTGTCAGTCATGGGGCTGGAACTCTCGGCCTGGGCACTGTCCCTGAGTTCTTCAGCTCAAGGCTAGTGCTCTACCACTTGAACCACAGCGCCACTTCTGGATTTTTCTGTTTATGTGATGTTGAGGAATTGAACCCAGGGCCTCATGGATGCGAGGCAAGCACTCTGCCACTGAGCCACCTTCACAGCCCCTTGATTATTTTTTTGGATATTTTCTGCTTTATTTCCACAAGTGTGGAAATGCCCCTGGGATTTCCAGGGGCATAAGATATTTCATTCTGTTCTATTAAGGCACATAGTGTTAATGACATTTACTAAGGTGTAAAACCATTATCCTTTTTTTTTTTTTGGTCAGTCATGGGGCTTGAACTCTGGGCTTGGGCGCTGTCCCTCAGCTCTTCAGCTCAAGGTGAGCACTCTACCACTTGAGCTACAGCGCCACTTCTGGTTTTCTAGTGGTTTATTGGAGATAAGAGTCTCACGGACTTTCCTGCCTGGGCTGGCTTTGAACAGCGATCCTCAGATCTCAGCCTCCTGAGTAGCTAGGATTACAGGCATGAGCCACCGGCACCTGGCCCATTAGCTTTTCTTATTAAACTTTTTTTTTGGTCAGTCATGGGGCTTGAACTCTGGACTTGGGCGCTGTCCCTGCGCTCTTCAGCTCAAGGTGAGCTTAAGCCACAGGGCCACTTCCGGTTTTCTAGTGGTTTCTTGGAAATAAGAGTCTCATGGACTTTTGTGCCAGGGCTGGCTTTGAAACGTGATCCTCAGATCTCAGCCTCCTCAGTAGCTAGGATTTCAAGCGTTAGCCACTGGCACCCGGCTCATAGTGTTTATTTCATTTTCTTTCAGCCAGCAAATACTGCAAAATGATAGTGGAAGAAGAAGTGTTGAAGCTTTTGTATGATACCCAGGAGCACAGTCAGGTGAACCCACAAGTACAGCAGCTTGCAGCTTCCATTCTAGAGGACTTCAGGATGCATTTTATGAATTATCAGAGGCTCCCACTATAGTGAACGCCTTTCATAGGTGACAGGTCTTCTGTTCTATTGGTAATCGAATGTTGAAACCAGTTTGAGTTTGTGAGTTGACAGTCTCATTACCCTGTTTGTTTATCTTATTACTAAAAGGTTGAACTTGTATGATCACTGTAATTCCAAACTCAGGTTGGGCTCATTCTAGAGACACTCCTTCAGTAATTAAAAAAAACCAAAACCATAGACTTGACAGACTTCACCTGGAAGCTTATGTTGGAATGTTGTACAAATTTTTCCTAACCCTGGACAGTTTCTCCACTTTGGGAGCTCATCAGGAGAATAGGACTTGCTTACCCTGAAGATGAAGGAAAGACCTACAGAGTCCTTGATATTTGTTAATTTTCTCAGTTGTTATTTCTGATTATATGACAGTACCAAAAAAGATGTACATGAAGAAAGAAGATGAGAAGTAAGGCTAAGGATGTGTCTGAAGTGGTAGAATACTTGCCTAGCAATTAGTGGTCAGAATAAAGTAAATGTGGCATTTAGTTAATTTGTTCAGACTATACCCAAAACTAGGAAGGGGAAGGGTTAGAAAAAAGGGTTTGAGTATGTGTTTATTCTTTTTTTTTTTTTAATGGCAGTCCTGGGGCTTGAGCCACAGTGCCACTTCTGGCTTTTTCTGTTTATGTGGTAGTGAGGAATTGAACCCAGGGCTTCATACATGCTAGGCAAGCACTCTACCACTAAGCCACATTCCCAACCCCTGTATTTATTCTTTATTATTGATAACTGACAAATATGTTTTTGTATTTTTTGTTACCTTAAACCATGGTTTAAACTTTTATTCATCCAAAGCAGAATTTGTGAGTCCGTAAATTATCCATTCTTCTGCATGCTTCCAAAAAGGTCTTAGTTTCCTGCTCTGGGTTCCAGCATTTTGGAGCATTGTTTTACCAGATAACCAATTTTTCACTAATGCAGGGATGTCATGGGAACCAGGGTCTATGTAGGTATGTGCACATGTGTATGTGTGTGTGTGTACAAGGTTTTGAACTCTGGGCTGCATTCTTCCTCAGCTTTCTAATACATGACTGATGCTCTACTACTTAAGCCAGGCCTCTACTCTGGCTTTTTGATGACTAGACATGGAATCTGCAGGCATTTCTTCTTGAATTGGCTGCTAATGCCTCTCAGGTTTCAGCGTCCTACGCAGTCTGAACCACAGGTGCCAAACCTTGAATGTCTGAGTTCCAATCCTGTATCAGGTGCCCTTTCAAGTTTTGTCTTCACAGCAGTCCTCTGGTATAGGTAAATTTTTTTCTCCTCAGTTGAAAGGTGAGAAGGAAAAGGAAGTTTAGGGCAGTTACTTTTCTGAGTTGTGAGAACTGTGCTACTTCTGAAGCCTGCCTTCCAAGAAACAAAGTATAACCTTTGTATGTTTGCATTTAGCAAATCAACAGTTATTACGATGTGTCTGTGCTGTGGTAGAGCCAGTGAATCTAGGACAGGTTTCTCTGGATGCTTAGGTAGAACAATTCTAGAGGATCCTGAAGCAGCCTTAGAAGAAAAGGGCATTGAGGCTGGTATTGACAAGCAAATGCCAGCTTTCCACCTCCATTTATTTTCCAAGTGCGTCATTTGCATCACTGCTGATTCATATGCCTACTTGTCTTCAAGGATCTATTGTAATGGTGCCTGCTCATTTCTGCTTTGCTTCCTCAAAATCACTACTTCCTTTTAAGTGCTCCCAAAGGCCATTAAAAGTCTTCCTGCAACCTGCAATCTACAAAAGTCCTTCAACACTGATTGTACTTCTCACAATTACAGTGTAAGCTAACAATCATAACATGTTTATTGAACACAAGGTGTGTGTGTTTGTGTGTTGGTCCTGAGCCTTGAACTTAAGAATCTGGGTGCTCTCTCTCAGCTTTTGTGTTCAAGGCTGGCTAGCACTCTTCCTCTTGAACCACAGCTCTACTTCTGGCTTTTTTGGTGCATAATTGGAGATGAGCCTGCTGGGCTGGCTTTGAACCATGATTCTCAAATCTCAGCCTCCTAGTAGCTAGGATTACAAGTGTGAACCACCAGTGCCCAGGTAACTGATCTAAATCCGCACGGCAGATTAATTTCACAGGTATAGAAACTGAGGCCTCAGAAGATTAAGGAGTTTGTCCAAGGTTACATCACAAGGAGAGAGCTAGGATCTGCAGTTGCTACTGATCCCTTTTCAACCACTGACCCCATTGATTCATTTTGTTTGTTTGTTGTTTTTGTCAGTGGGGCTTTAACTCTGGGCTTGAGAGCTGTCCCTCAGCTCTTCAGCTCAAGGCAAATGCTCTACCTCTTGAGTTACAATGCCACTTCCAGTTTTCTAGTGGTTTATTGGAGATAAGAGTCTCATGGACTTTCCTGCCTGGGCTGGCTTTGAACCATGATCCTCAGATCTCAGCCTCCTGAGTAACTAGGATTATAGGCATGAGCCACCGGTGCCTGGCTGATTCGTTGGTCTTTGTGTCTCTAGTAAGCTGGTCATGGAGAGGCAGAGGCCATGGACTGAGAGCCAACAACACAGATCTAGAGGCAGTTCTTTAATCTATAGTTGGTCATCTGGATAGGGAGAATCAGACATTTTTTAAGCAAACCTGACTCCTGTGATGATATAGCCAGGGTAAGGAATAAGAAAGAATGCAACAGGAAGTGCAGGTCATCATTTTGCCCATCATTTAGTAATGGTTGATCATCTTTGTGAAGAAATTGAAGGCCAAGGTGAAATAAGTATGGCAGTCTTGACTGAAGACTTCCCATTTGCATTCTGTTCTTTAAGGTATACATGTCTGGTGTTTCAGGTATAGGGGAAGAAAGGAGCTCACTTGCCAACAAATTTTGGGGCGCGCTTCTCCCTGAAGGCGGCCATGCCTTCCAGCCGGTCCTGGGTTGGTATGTTCTACAACAGTGCACAGGATATTAGTTTTGTAGGAGCAGGGACAGCTGCCAAAGAATTGCTTAATATAGAATATTAAGAATATGAGAATAGGCTGGGTGCTGGTAGCTTACACTTGTAATCCTAGCTACTCAGGAAGCTGAGATCTGAGAATTGTGGTTCAAAGCCAGCGAGGGCAGGAAACTCTGTGAGACTCTTATCTCCAATAAACCACTCAGAAAACCAGAAGTAGTGCTGTGGCTCAAGTGGTAGAGCACTAGCCTTGAGCTGAAGAGCTGAGGCCCAGAGTTCAAGCCCCACAACCGACAAAAAGAAAAAAGAGAATATAGTTGGTTGTCACTAGGTTCTTAATGTTTCGATGATACTTTATTCACTCAAGAATTGGGCTAACCCAGGCACTGGTGACTCATCCCTATAATTCTAACCACTCAGGAGGCTCAGAATACCAGTTCAAAGCCAGCCTCAGCAGACAAATCCAATTAACCAGCAAAAAGCTGTTTCAAGTGGTAGAGCTCCAGCCTTAAATGAAAAGCTAAGGGACAGTGGGAGGCCTTGAGTTTAGGCCTTAGTACTAGCACAGACACAAATCAAGTTGGGCTAAATAGGTCAAGACTCAGGTTTGTAGCCCCTCTATTGGGTATAGTGCAAGTCACAGCCTTTATGTCCCAACTCTAGCCTAGCCCTCTATAGTGGGTACAGGGGTAGCAAATTTGTCAAGTACCTTTTTTTTGTTGTTGTTGTGGGACTTTAAGTCATCCTGGGTGCTGTCCCAGAGCTCTTCAGCTCAAGGTGAGTGCTTGAGCCACAGCACTACTCCCCGTTTTTTGGGTTTTTTTTTTTCCACTCCCTGTTTTTTGGTGGTTAATTGGACTTTCCTATCTGGGCTAGCTCTGAGCCTCAATCCTCAGATCTCAGCCTCCTGATTAGCTAGGATTACAGGCTTGAGCCACAGGGTGCCTGGCTGTCAAGTACCTTTGTCAAGTGTGTGGGTGCTTGGCTGTTGAGTACCTTTGTCAAGCCTGTGCTGTGATTCTGTGGATATCAATAGGGTAGGCTATGCCATTGAGTTGTTAAGGAACTGAGGGAAGCCATGTGCTTTACCTGGAGCCACCCTAGGTTAATTAAGCAAGAACAAGACTGGGTTTGGGAGAACCCTTCTGAATTAGTTGAACTACACAAGCCTCCTCATGACCCAGCCTCTACTAAATGTGCAGGCTGGCAGCAGCCACATACCTGGGCGTAGCACATTCCTTCAATGGCCATTCCTGATGCAATATCCACCTACAAGAAAGAAGTATTCAGCCTGACCTGGGCTACCCCCTGGGAGCCAGAGTAGGAGCAGAGATGACCTGTCAGGAATTTCTGCCTGGGATGCATAGGAGAAGCAAAGTGTGTGAGGAGAAGTGAGGGCTGACATTTGTAAAGCTGACTTCCCCCAGGGAGAGTGCAAGCTTCATGGTGAGGCTAGTGTCCATCCTTAGCCACGTTACCTCAGCAGTACCTTTTGTCAGTTTCATGGTCCTCAGGAAGTGTAGGCCCTAGGCCTTTATGAGCTGGTCCCTGGCACATTCTGTCCTCTATTGTCCTAAATAATAACATGTGGAGAGGCTGGGAAGGTAGCTCAGTGGTAGAGCACTTGCCTTGCATGCCTGAGGCACTGGGTTCCATTCCTCAGCACCACATAAGCAAAAAGAAAAAAGCCGGAAGTGGTGTTGTGGCTCAAGTGGTAGAGTGCTAGCCTTGAGCTGAAGAGCTGAGGGACAGCGCCCAGGCCCAGAGTTCAAGCCCCACGACCGGACCCTTCCCCGCCCCCCCAAAAAATAAAAATAATGTGTGGAAACTCTCATTGCTCAAAAAGTTTTGATCAAACAGGAATAGCAGAACCAGCAACATGTGCCCACCTTGTGTACCTCTCAAGTACCTGCTTGGTACAATTAACTTTTCCTAAGTGGTTTATGTCTATCTTACCCCTTTCTACCTCAAGGGTCAGTGACTATATCTTATTCTTGAATCTCAATTCTAGATTCAATGTGTAAAGACTCAACGCCTCATTACTGAAGATCAGTATAGACCCAAGAGCTCCAAAGGCTTA